CTCATCCCTTGTCTGAACTGCTTTCCACTCTTTTTAATATTTAAAAGCAGATATAAAAACACAGCATAATAATAGTAAAAGAAACCAGTTGGGGTAGGAACGTGAAGTAAAAGAAAGAAGCAGGAGAATAATAGCCTTTAATGTATGTGAATCTCTTTTTCCTTCCTTTCTACCATGAGCTTTCTTCTCAACAGCTTTCTCTGTTTCCTTCTCTTTTATTATATATTCATTGCTTCTAGTAATACATTCATACAGTAATAGAGGTGAAAGGGGAGTTTAATTATATAATCTTGACAATGGCAATAGGATTAAGAAGTAATCCTCACTAATAAAGTGGTGTGGGTTAGAAATGAAGTGGAAATTGTCAGGGGTCTTCTGCAGGACCTGGGCTGCCCCAGCTTCTGCAGCTGTCTGCTTGCCCTGTAATTGAATGTCTGAGGGTGATTGAAAAAATGTTATTTCTCCTCTGGATTACATGCTAATGTACAGAGGGCAAAGGGAGACAGCAAAAGAACACATAGCTGCTTATTTCATCCATTTGTGGGGGTGAGCTTTGGGAAATCATGGCAGTTCTGCAGCTATCTCATGCCCATCTGCAAACACAATGTATTTGTACATTGGGAATAGAGGGCAAAGCTGCTCTGATCTCAGCAGAGCATCTCTTCTTTTGTCCTAGTGGCACACATTGAGATTGATGCGAGATTAAGGACCATCACCCTCCTAACAATTGACGGAAATGACAGTTCATCTGAATTTTTTGTCAGTAATTCTCACGTTGATTACCTGAATGTGTGTACCTCATTTTTAGATGCTTTATTAAAACAAAATCGTCCGTGTCACTTTCTTATCTTCACCTGCTTTATAAAAGCCAGATAATACTGCAACCGAGAACCTTCATTTCCTTACCTCATAATCAGCTAAATGACAAACCTAACTTATTTTCTTTCTGCATGTGTTAGTTTATATAATAGCTCCTGTATTGTCAGATCTGTGCCTAACCTATTGTTTTCAGTGGTCGTCTGATTTGTCCCTATGATAAGCCCTGTGGAGATGTGATCATTCCAATAAAAATTCATTCAGTTAGAAACCAACCCTCCAGCTGTTTACTCCCATAGTCCCCGAGCTACACTAATGCTGTACGGAATCCTTGAAAAATATTTAATGTGAAATCAAAAGCATCTTTAAAACATTTTACTGTAGGCTCTGTAAGGCTGTGTAACTTTGACGATAGATTTCTGTCATCCATGAGGGAGCACTTCACAATCAGACAATTTTGAGCCTCGACTGCTTTCTTCATCTTTGTAGAAAGCTATGGAAACTCTGCAGTAGCTACAGAACACATCTGACAGTAAAATTTCAAGTGTTGGTGTGTGCACTCCCTGTATTGCATACAACAGAAGGAATGCAACCGCCAAAGTTTCTCAAAAAGAAAATGTCTGAGTGAAAACCGTGTCTTGCCATGCTAAAGGCAGCTCTGGCATCTATAATATATGCATCAGTTTGCAATTGTAGCAGCTTCAACTTTGCGCAGAACAGGGAAACTGTAAATCTATTACATATGTTCCCTTCTGGGATAAAAAGATTCTTGGTTTTTAAGGAAGGGCTATGATCTTTGTTTTATTTATTTTCATATTCCGGGTTTGAAAAACAAGTGATGGTGACAGTGTTTGGTGTTTGTACTCTTTGGCAGGTCCAGTTGCCCTGAGCGCGCCAGCTCAGCTGGTGGCACCCTCGGTGGTGGTGAAAGGCACTCTGTCCATTACTCTTTCCGAGCTCTACTTCGAGGTGGATGAAGAAGATCCCAGTTTTAAGAAAATCGACCCGAAGGTAAGAGATCATTGACCCTGAGCTCTGAGAGATGATGACAAATTACCCGAGCCCTTTAATTCTTCATTCTACTCCCTTTACCTCTGTTGGCCCTCAGTGCTCCTGCTTTAGGAAGTTTGCGACTGACCATATATGTTAGCAAACTTCTCCTGAGCGACACCTCCTCTCCTCCCTATTCTCCCCCTCCCACAATTCAACCCTACTTGAATGTTAATTAGCTTGCTGCGAATAAAGCTCCAGGGAGGCATCTGAAATAAAGACATCTTGAATCGCAGGCCTGTGTGAACACAGGAAAGTCCAGCCAGCCCGTTAGCCCAAACGCTTCGCTTTACTTTCCTCTTTTCACATAACGCCAGCATAACATCGTGCTTAACCCCCCGTGCTCTTAAGTTTTCAGTGGTTCAGCATTGTATCATTATATAACAGATTTTACAGGGCCTGTTACTATTTATGGTGCCTAAGCAGAAAACTTAATTGCCCTCTTAAAAGTACGTTCTGGAACTGACTTGTTAATTTTCACAAGCTTTACTTGCTCTGAGCTACTTGATGTTGGGAGTTTGTTTAGAAAGAGAAACCTTTCAGTAAAATTGCAATTTCGGGGGCAGTATATTCTGACATAATAAGGTCTATGCAGCCTCGCAGCAGCGTTTGAAAAGCGCGGCATGTTACTAGCAGATATTCTCGTATTCACATTAAGCATGTTGATGTCTGCTGGTCTTTAAAATATCTGCTTATTATTAAGCATGGTGGTAATTTCTTGGTGAAGGGAAGAAAGTCACCGGAAGACATAGTGGGTTTGTGCTGATCTGTCGGCAGCGCCCTGTGTGTTAAGCAGTGCTTCAGGTCTCAGTTCCTGTGGAGTAAATGGCTGTCATCTGTATTAAATGTGCTCTGAAAGCTGGGATCATTGAATGCTATCAAGGAAAGCATTTAGTTTGCAAAGAACGCTCTCCAACCCTTCCAGCTAATCGCTCATAGAAAACTGCAGCTCAAAGAGTGATTTTATATTGTACCATAAATGGAATTTAACTTTTTTCTGGTCCTGAAACATCGTGGAAGTTTGTGAAATAGCTCTTAAAATTTGGATATGCTTCCTATTTCCATAGTACTTTTAAAAATATGTAACGGTAGGGAACGTCTCAATATAAAATGTGAGGACAAGTTGATCCTCCATCTTCATTGTTGTGCCGTGCCTTGTACTGGCACCATAAAAACCTTCTGGCTCTGCGGCACTCTGCACTTCTGCTTTCAGTGCAGGACGTGTAAGCACAGATAAGAACTCTCCTCGTTTTTGTGACCTGCTTTGTGGGGATGTGGCCACGTTGAGCTGGCTTTCTTTTCTCCCGTTTTCTAATCGTTGGGAGTGGCTGTTTCCCTGCCCGCGGGCAGAGCTCTCTTTAGTCTGACTGTTTTTCATTCTGCATCTGAGACATTTTTAGTTTCTTAGAAAAGGAGTCGGTTATGTGGAGCATGGGCTACACATATCTTACGTTCTATTTGTGATGCTACTTCCAGAGGAAAGCTTTAAAAATATATATCTTAATATCTCTTTTTGGGAAAGGAGGGCTAAAAAGAAACGGTGTGAATTTTGAGTTGAAATAGCGATGAGCTTCCGATGCAACTCGCTTTTAAGCGTTAACACCTCCCTGCCCCACCCTCCGCTTGGATCGCTGTGCCTGGAAGTACGCCCCTAAAACTCAAAACCCTTAAGCAGAGTAGCTCAGAAGGCGCCCTTAATTAACGAGGCTTCGTCCGTTAGCTAAATTTAAGGTACGTGTCTGTTTGTCCAAAGTACCACAAAGAAAACAGTGTGACAGGGTGCGGAACGAGCGCCGCGCTGGCGATGCTACGAGTGCCGCTCAGATCAGGGCTGTTTTCCCGCAGAAACGGCCGCTCCGCCAGGTGAGCCGGGGGGCGGTGGGGCTGCACCGCGTCCCTCCCGGCCCCGCCGCGCTGCCCGCGCCTCTCGCTTCGTTCGTTTTCTCGCTTCAAATGGGAACAGCCGTTTCTTTGCGGTCCCACCGCAAAGAAACGGAAGCGGCGTTTCGGAGCGAGAAGTTGCCTTTCGCCTCCCCTCCGAGGGACGCCGAAGCTTGTACTAAAGGCTGAAAATCGGCTCGGAAGCCCGTCGGGGTGGGGATGGGGGGGGAGCGGGGCAGCTAACGACGGCGCCGTTAACGCTGAAAAGCGCTACAATCGTTTCCAAGGCGGGGAAGTTAAGCTGCGGGTGGAGGGCACGGCGCAGGGTGTCCCGGGAGCTCCCGTCCCGAGCGGGCAGCCCGTGGAGAGACCCACAGCCATCGGTGCCGCTGCCGCCGAGTGAGCGGGGCAGTGAGGCGCCGACACCGTTCGGGGTGGCTCCGTACTTGGCGTCCAGCGGGACGGCGCGTTAGCACGGGGAGTTTGTAACGCGAAATACAAGCGCTCGAGGTTTAGTGGGGGGAAAAAAAAAAAAAAAAAAAAAAGAAAAGAAAAAAAAAAAAGAAAAGAAAAAAAGAAGAAGAAGAAGAAGAATTAAAAAGGAAGGTGGAAGCGAAAACGAGCGCGCGCGATGCAAAGCGAAACGCCGCGGGCGGGCTGCCTGCCTGCCGCGGGGCGATGCTCGGCATGGCTCAGGACGGAGGGGAAAAGACACGGAACGTAACGCGGTACAGCAGTGCTCGCACGCGGAGCAAAGGGTTTTCTCAGCGCCCCGTTTTAACGGGAAACAGAGGGACTGCGCCGAGCGGAGGGCTCGCGTTCAGCCTCCGGGCGCGTCCCGCCGTCCCGCTTCGGGTTTTGTTTTTTTAAGTGTCGCTTCTGCGGTTTGGAAGGGCCCTGCCGGCCCGAACTTAAGAACCATGCACGAAAAGTAAAGTTAAAGTGATATTTTTATTACTATTTGCAACAAGTCAGTGGTGGAGCACATCATCTGACCTCGGCGCCGAAACACATTTTTAACATCGGTAAAACTTTTTTTTTTTTTTTAAAGGGCAATTTGTACATATAGTTAAATAATTTTTCACTTGGTGACAACATTCAGGCAGACGAGAGAGAGAGAGAGAGTAAGAAAAGGACTATACAGGGATTGGAAAATGTACCTTTGGGCTTTCGTTTGGCCGCGGCAAAAGTCCGAGCGCTTCCCTTTGCGGAGGAGGAGAGGCGGGGATGCCGTCCCCGCGGGCGGCGCCGATCCGTAGCAGTCTGTGGCCGCCGCGGTACCGGGGGACGAGCGGCTTGCGCCCGGGCGCCGGCCCTATAGTTTGTCGAGGCTTTTGGGATTGGTGAGGATCTCCCGGGCCAGCCTCCAGGTCTGTTTGGCGGCGCTCTCTAGGGCCGAGTGGGGCTTGCCCTGAAAGAGGTCGAGGTTGGGCAGGAAGTAGTGCGGGCAGCGGCGGCACTGCAGGCAGGAGATGAGCTGCAGCAGGATGCCGTTGAGGCGGTCGCCCAGGCACGCCTCGTCCCAGTCGGTCTCCCTCGGGTGCTTCTCGCACTCGTACAGCAGCAGCGTCTTCATGTGGTAGTTGTTGAGCGGCTGCCCGGGCAGCTCCAGGTGCCGGTCCCGCAGCGTCTTGAGCACCGAGAGGCACTTGTTGCGGCAGCCGCCCATCAGCAGCCGGTTCTCGGCCTCGCCAAACTGCAGCACCCAGGCGTCGCTCTCGGCCGAGCTCTGTTTGCCCGTCAGCGAGTAGCACTCCTTGGAGAGCAGGTTGAAGCCCTCTGCCTTCACCTCGGCCACACGGTTGGGGCCGGGCCAGGGGATGTGTGGCATGGGCCACTGCGCCGCGCTGCGCGGCCAGATGCCTGTGCACTTGAAGGCGGGTGTGATCTGCACCACGTAGCGCTCGCGGATGCGCAGCTTCACCTCGCTGGTGTCCGCGATCATCTTCACCACGTCGCGGTAGCTGCACTTGTCCACGGCCTGGGCCACCAGCGTCTGGAAGCGGGAGCGGATCTTGCGCGCCGACAGGTAGCCCGAGGCCGTGATGAACTCCACCCAGAGCGACATACTGCGCTTGCGGCCGTCGCTCAGCTTGAGCACGGCGCAGCCTGGCAGGGAGCCGTCGTCCACGAAGTTGAAGACGCCCATCTGGTTGAGGTAGAGCACCACCTCGAACTCGGTGGGCGAGATCACCTCCAGCCCCTCGTAGCGGGCGTCGATCTCGCTCAGCGAGCTGATGAAGCGCGGCTCCTGCACCTCCACCTCCTTCAGCACGTCCGACACCACCTTGCACACCTCGCGGATGGTCTTAGCGATGGCCGCCTTGCGTGCCTGGCAGCGCTCCGTGTAGTACTTGTTGAGCTGGTACACCAGCTTGGCCTGGGCGGCGATCATGTTGGGGCACAGGTCCGGGCTGTACACCGGGCTCTCGCAGTACGTTGAGGGATCCAATGCTTTAGCGGGGGCTGCAGCTTGGCGGAGGGCAGCGGCCGGCTCGGGCACCCCCGCCCCCGCCGGGCGGACGGCGGCAGCGCGGGTCGGAGGAGGAGGAGGAGGCGGCGGCACGAAGCGGCGCGGCCCGGCGCTGCCCCGGCCCGGGGGCGGCGGGGGCCGGGAGGTGGATGCTGCCGCTGCGCTCGGCCGCCCGCCCCCCCGCGCCGCTGCACGGCCGCTTCAGCAGTTCATGGAATCGAAAGAGCCTGAGCGAAGTCGCGCAGGAGTTCCCCGCAGAAACGCCTGTCGGCGGCGAAGTTTGGCACCGCCTGCGGGACGAGAGCAGGAGGAGGAGGAGGAGGAGGAGAAAGGGGTGCGGTGCCCCGAGCGCCGAGCGAGCCCCGTCCGGCCGCCGCCCTCGGTCCGTTCTCGGTGCGTGCCCCGCCGCCGCCGGATGCCGCCGAGCGCCCTTCTGGCCCTGGAGCTGCGCGGCTCCCGCGATCGTTACTCGCAGAGTTGTGCGCCCGCTCTGCGTTCGCTCATCCCCGTCTTGCGGCTCGGCACGGATTGTTGGGGTTTGTTTTTCTTTGCACACACTGTGTTATCCCGGGCGGGAGGAGGGCGGTGCGGTATGCCCGGGAGCGCTTCTCCTCCCCCTCCCCACCCCTGGCTGTGCGCGCCGCGGCTCTCTCTGTCCGCGCCTCTCCTCCTCCTCCTCCTCCTCCTCCTCCTCCTCCTCCTCCGCGTATCCGCGCGGCTCTGGACGCGCTGGCGCCGTGGTTACTTTATGAATGGGCCCCGGCCGCGGCGGAGGGGCGGAGCGCGTCTCCTACAATCGCCGCCGAGCTGTCAGCGGCGCGGCCAATCATAGCACCGGGCGCGGCCAGAGCGGGACCGGCGGGAGGGGCGCGGGGGGCGCGGGTACGGCGACGCGCACGGCCGCGGCCTCGGGCCGGGCACCGGCAGCTCGCGGCCCGGGTGCGCCGGGTGCCGGAGCTCCGGCGGTGTGCGTGAGGCGGAAGGGGGGGGGCGGAGGACCGCGCTGCTGTAAATGTCCCGGCGCCGGTATCGGGCTTAGCGCGGAAAGTGGGAGAGTGGCCGGGGCGGGGTGGCGCGCCGCGGGCCCGTTGACGGTGATAAATCTGCGTAGTAAAGTTGCGCTCATCTTTCTGAAGTGGAAGATGGAGTTATTAGAAAAAGAAACTGTATTTTATGCGAGTTTGTGTTACTGAGAGCTCTGAATGGTTTGGATGTATAATCGCACCAGTGTCGCGGCGGTGCAGAAAGGCAGCGAGTGGGCGTTCGTGGAACGCCGGAGCAAAACGAACTCTTTTCCCTACAAACTCCCAATGTGGGGAGAGGTGACGTCCGCCCCCTTCTCACCGCTGCTCCCCGGGCTGTGTGTTCCCCTCTGCGGCGGGCCCGGCGGATCCCCGGTGCGCCCGGAGCGAGGCCGCAGCCGTTTGCACGCCGTGCGCTCCTTGCGGGGTCTCGGCTCGCTCTGCGTCCGCTTCTTTTTTGCTTTTCGTTGTGGATGGTTGATTTTACTAAATAAAATATCGCCGTCTGTTTGCCGCGTGCGTTTAAATTAGAAACATGTCTTACGCCGGCCGTACAACGGCACGCTGGGTGTAGTAAGTATGGACGTGCCCGGCGCCGGTGCTGCTCGGGGCGCTGTCATCGACGAGCCGCACGCTTCGGGCATTACATCACGGCGCTGCGGCTGGGACACCGCGGCTCGGCAGGGCCGGCAGGTGCCCGGCGGGAGGGAGAACGGCCGGGGGCGGCTCCGGGTAGAGGCGCCTCAAGGAGCGGCGAGGAGGGCCGTGGCACCGTCGGCCAGGGCGGGCGGGAGGAGCGGCGGAGCTGGCAGACGCCGGGTCGGACGGGGGTGGGGGGACGCGAGTGCCTATTTTCAGGGCAAAAATAGAGCCGAGGCGGCCGGCCCCCGCTAAGGTGGCCGATGGTAAAGCGTTACCGGCGCACAGGTTTAAAACGATTCATTACCAATTTTCCTGTCTGAGGTTGAAGCGCTAGTAAATAATAAATCAGCTAAACAAAAGCCGACTTTAATTTATTGCCCCGGCGCTAATTAGAAACATCATTTGAGCAATAAACTTAAACACTTCCAGCAAATAATGCACGTGAAGCCTTTCTCTGGGCGATTGCGGCCGCGCCGCATTAAGATTGGCTTCGGCTGTGGCGGAATTTGCTCTCGCCGGGATGAATAATTGAAAGGAACGGTATCGGAGGAGCTGCAGTCGAAGAGCCCTTCTCCCCATTGCCTTTATGGACGCTGGCGCGGAAGTCCGTCAGCGCTCCTCGATGGTGCACCGTACGGAGCGGCAGCCCCTCCGGCGGCGGGGGACACCGTGCTCCGTTGGATGAAGGAGCGCGGAGAGGGACTCTCAGGGCTAAAAGGCACTTGAAGCCTTCAGAGCGATTGATCTGCATTCTCCCGTTATAATCCGTCTCATCATACTTGAGTTAATGAGGCAGGGGCGGAGGTGATCTGATGGTCCTTGACAAATTCATTAGGGAGGCTGCGGGACGTTTTATTTGACTGTTAAACATGGTGTTTGTTTGGTTTAGGCAGCGCCGACGTCGGCACGCCGCTGCCTGCAGCAATAGCGTTTTGTTAGCGAGGGCTGCTGGAAACGGAGCTGCGAGGGACTCGTGCGGGGGGAGCAGCGCGCTGCCCCTCGGCGCCTCCTCCGCTGCGGGCCCGCACGTGGCAGCGCTCATGCGGGCAGACGGGGCGGCAGAGTGGCAGCCAGCGGCGGCCGGGAAATGTGCGAGCACCTTTTGATTTTATCCCATTTCGATTCGAGAGAGGATGCCGTGCGTTTTATCGAGCCTTAAAACAAAAAGGCAAACCGACAAAACGAGAAGAAAACTGGAAAACAAATGGGAGTTTCAGCAGGAAGCACGGACGTTTTTTATTGTGTTACGCTGTGGCATGCTTGCTTTTGCTTGGCTAGCCAGCTTGTCGGCAGCGTGCTTTATGTATTTCAGACCCTTTTTATTCTATAGGGTGTATTTTGAAGTTTTTCTCTCACGTGGTACCGATACAGCATTTAATTTTAAAGTAAATTCGAAGTTTAACCAAAATCGTGAGACTGTTAAAGGGTTTGTGCCCAATTTACCTTTTTTTCTCTCTCCTCTCCCCTGAGTGGAAAGGGGAAAGCAAATGCAGGAACAGGTGCTCCCAAAAGGGATAATAAGTGTTTTTATGAATATGACATGAAATATGAATGTGTACTCATTTGTTTTGTTCATGGCAGCTTTGTAGACAAGACCCAGCCAGTGCTCCATGATTTCCCAATAGCTGCTTTCCTTTCCTGTCCTGTCTGCTAAGGGATGCAGGTTTGTGGTAAAACACGCTAATTAATCTGCTCGTGGATCCTAACATTGTGGTATTTTTTTACTGGGGATCAGTCTTCAAACATTCTCATCTTTAAGCACTTTGTAGAGCTCTGCTTCCATTTATAGAAGAACAGTATGGGAAAAGAGCTAGTGCCCTTTGCCTGTCATTTTCATACATTCCTGCACTGCTGATGGAGCTTGAACTGCTGCAGGGAATGTATGGATTTGAGAAGAAATGATTCAGTAATGCATGTTGTGTTTCTCTGCAGCAAAACCAGGTTAATGGTTACAGTAAAGGCTGCCGTGGGTTTGATGGTTAAAATTCTGTTTACGTTCAGTAGTGTGCAGTATGTACCTTTTTTTATTTAAAGGCATGGCTTGGCTTTGCTGTCTGCTGATTCTGTTAAGAGCTGTGTTTATGAAGTTAGCTGATAGCGTGCACTGAGGGAGAGAAGATGTTTTCCATTCGGCAGATGTCATTAATGCGTCCCATCAGCAAAGAGTAATATACAAATCTTGTTTTTTATGCAGAGATTGGATGGTATGATAATGAAATAATTTATACATGTTTCTAAGTCTCCCTTTTCTTCCTTTCTGGAGCAGTGAAAGGGGAAGGCTCCAACTACCTCTCTAAGGAGCTCAATTTTCCTTTCCCTGAAATGTGGATGTCATCGTCTGGTGTTTAACCATGATCCTTATTGAAGGCTTTCTCTGTTGCTTCGAATCTTGAATTGCAGGTTGCTTCTCTTTTGTCTCGAAGAATAGCTGTGACTTTTAGCTGCAAGATTACTTTAGCTTCTAAACAGAGTTTTATAAGTTTGCACTCCGTTGAAAATCAGAGAAAATCAAACAAGTGCACCGTAAAAGAACATATCTAATGCTTTTGTAGCATTTACTTCTTTAAAAACTTCTTGGGACCCTTCTGTTTTGTTTATTTTGTTTGGGTGTGGTTGCATACTATTGGTATATTCTGTTTTGTCCTGCAGAAATAGCCTAATTCAGTGTGTTGACTGGTTGTTATTTACAGTAACTGATCAGTTATGTTAATTATGTCCATTTTAAAAAGTATGAGAGCGTGAAACGTCCTGGGATTTTGCCAGCTTGATTCTCAGCTGGATTCAGTAACACTCGTTTGCTTGAGAAGGATCTTTACTATTTAATCTAGGCTTCTCTAATAAAATTCTTAAATTGAAATTAAAAAATTTCTGTTTCTAGCTCCAGAAGTGGAACCTTCTCATTCATACGTTAACACTTTTAGAAGTACTTCCCCAAGTGGCAATGTAACATACTGTACTCCTGAGCCATGCTACAGGCAGCAACCCTTTAGCAGGCGCTCATCAGTGCAGATCATAAGGGGAAAGAGGGCTGTGCGAGGAGGGTCAGAGGGGGCTCAATCTTCTCAGTAGCACGGCTGACCAGCATGCAATATATCGAGTCACTTTTTTGTTTCTGCTTCTCCCCCCACTTCTCCCCTCTCCTAGTATGTAAAGATGATTTTGGTTTTGGTGGAAGATGGTTATGGTAGAAAAGGCATGCAAGTTTTACTTAAATGTAACTTATTTATTCATTATTTTTTTATGTTTCCTGTTTGAACAGTCTCATAATCGTTGCCTTATTCAAATATTTTTCAATTTAAACGCAGAATTAGAGCTGTCTGTTTTTCTGCTTGTTGTACTTC